ACTTGCTACTTATTACTATCCCACCTACCTTCGCTTCTGTGCAGACGGTCATCGTAGGCCCACATACATGTCACACATATACGACAATTACATACTACTTATCACTATCCCACCTACCTTCGCTTGTGTGCAGACGGTCATCTAGACCCACATACATGTCACACATACGACAATTACTTACTACTTATCACTATCCCACCTACCTTCGCTTCTGTGCAGACGGTCATCGTAGGCCCACATACATGTCACACGTGTACCAACTGGCCAATATGATCGAGCGGTCTCTGCGGGGCGAAACACACGCACTCACAACCAAAGAGAGTATCCTCCGCAAAATACGTACAGGTGAACCGAAGAAGGACACGGAGGAAGCCCAAGCACCCGACAACACCAACAACGCCAGCACGGGGGTGTTTGTACCCAAGGAGTGGGTAAGGTTTGTGGGAGACGAGCTGATGGTAGACAATGCGTCTCTGGCGCTGCCGTTGGGTGGGAAAAGGCCGACAGACCCACTCAGCCACTTTGGAGACAGCGATGAGGATATGAACGCTATGGAAGACGACGCGGCACAGTTGGTGAGTGGTGTTGGGTGGCTGGTTGGGGTGGAGTGTGCTTGCGAGCAAGATTTGCATCTCATTCATGTATATGTATATATGTATATGTATATGTATATGTATATGTATATGTATATGTACAAGTATATGTATCTGTATCTGTATCTGTATATGTATATGTATATGTATATGTACAAGTATATGTATATGTATTTGTACATATACATGTATATGTATGTTTATGTTTATGTTATTTTATTATTTATTTATTTATATATATATATATATATATATAAGCGTGTTTGTGTGTTCCCTGTGGTTATGCCAATACCTGCTTCTAAGTTTCTTGCCGAGTTGACATTATAGCGCGTGCATTCATAACATCATCTCACATGACCAAATGCTTGGTTTAATTCGGGTTCGTTCAGGGGCTGCATCGTATCTTAGCGCAGCAACTGGCGGAAGAACCCGAAGACTTTGACAGCAATATAAACTTCGACGATGAGAATAACGCGGTCTTAAACAGGTACATTTGATCATCACAGTACAGCGACTGACCATCTCACCGATTATAGGGTTTAGGGTTTAATCCGTTCCGCTGGTCCCGTGTCCTGCTCCGCTGTTCTATCGCGTTGGAAGTGTACACAACCTTCGCTAGGCCAAGTGCGGGGCAGCTGTTGGTGGGCTAGGGTTTAGGGTTTTAATAAAACCTTGGGTAGTGTATGTATTGGAGTGAATCTGCAGTGATAGTGTATCCCATACGCTCTTCAGCAGTACACCCTCTGGCTGTGTGAACGTGCTTCTGCGTTAAGCTTGTGTGACGCGTGGGTGTCAATTGGTACAGTGGGTGTCAATTGGTACAACCCAGCCCACCCATAGCAATGGCTGTGGTTATCCTCAATCGCTCTCTCTGTACCAATGCGTATACGCGTGTTGATAGTTGGTTCTCCGATTTAAGTAACCGATTCCTGTACTCGCTTGCCTTATATGTGATGACTTCTCCGGGAGAGAACCCTCGTGTCTGTAGCCATGTGGGTTGAACTTAACCAGTCTACTAAGTATTTTATATATATATATATATATATATATATATATGCAAAACGTCTAGTTTGAGGCTGAACCTCTCTCACATACGTCCACCTCAGCCTAAGGTACAATATGTGCCACATGCACCATGTATATATACGTTCCCGAAACTATTCGCCGCTATAGAAACGGATCACCGCGATTGAAATCTAAACGTTATTAGTTTTTAACAGTCACAATACACTATGCATTTTGCACGAATGTGCACTCGAGTGTTTTCAATGCGAACACAACTACAAGTGCTTCTGATCTCATTCCCATTTCATTTCATTTCATTTATTTTATTTCATTTCATTTTAGGCTCGAAGCCGTTGCCGCAGCCACCAAATCACAAAACGAGAATCACAATTCAGCCGAAAGCGAGGTACGCAAATGGGGATTATCTCTCTGTCGTATGTGTGTTATGTGGCGTGCAGAAACCGCCCCACACTGTATCTAGGTGTGTGTATGTGACTATACATGTGTATCCAGGTGTTTGTAGATACTTATATGAGTATTCATACTTGATGTATATAGATACTTATATGAGTCTTTATACTTGATGTATATAGATACTTATGAGTATTTACACTTGATGTATATAGATACTTATATGAGTTTTTACACTTGATGCATATAGATACTCACATGAGTATTCATACTTGATTAGCAGCCCATTGGCTCGTGATATAAGCCCATGGTAGACCCTCTACTACCTTTTACGTGATAGCTGACGCTGTACTACCTGTCCACGTGATAGCTGACGCTGTACTTCCTGTCCACGTGATAGCTGACGCTGTACTACCTGACCACGTGATAGCTGACGCTGTACTACCTGTCCACGTGATAACTGACGCTGTACTACTTGTCCACGTGATAGCTGACGCTGTACTACCTGTCCACGTGATAGCTGACGCTGTACTACCTGTTCACGTGATAGCTGACGCTTTACTACCTGTCCACGTGATAGCTTACTCTACACTTGCCCTACGCTTCCTCCACCCCACCACGCACGCCTGCTATAGTTCACCAGTGACTACTTCTCCTCTGCCCTGCAATCCGCCTTCGATGACCCAGTCGATGAGGGTTTGGTAAGTGGCCCGTGCTTGTGTGTAGAGGAAAGGAATAGCCTGTTGGTTTATTAGGGTTTAGGGTATATTCGATTTCTTATGACTCGATAGTTCCGCCACTGTGGTGCATTATAGTGGTTTCTCTGTCCGTTTTTGTCCTCCTGTACCGCAGTATCTGGTACGTACTGTACGTTTTTCTTACCCTGTACCGCAGTATCTGGTACGTACTGTACGTTTTTGTCCCCCTGTACCGCTGTATCTGGTACGTACTGTACGTTTTTGTCCCCATGTACCGCAGTATCTGGTACGTATTGTACGTTTTATCCCCCTGTGCCGCAGTATCTGGTACGTGCGTACCGTAATTTTCGACCAGGGCAGGGCAATCTTAGAGTATCATTCAGACGTACTATCTATATATTCATATGGGTGTTGCTCTTTTCATCCTTCCCCCTCGAATCTCCGTGTTGTGAAGTTCATTAGCGATCAACTGTGCGACATATCTGCCTCGTGCACTTGTCTGTGTGAACCAACCACCCATCCGATAGTGATAGCCTATCTACTGGTGGTGGTTATGAGGCCATAGATGTCCATACAGTAGAGTAGAGCGCACCCATCCTATAGTGATAGCCTATCTACTGGTGGTGGTTATGAGGCCATAGATGTCCATACAGTAGAGTAGAGCGCACCCATCCTATAGTGATAGCCTATCTACTGGTGGTGGTTATGAGGCCATAGATGTCCATACAGTAGAGTAGAGTACACCTCCCTAGTGCACATATCCGCCCCCATCACTTACTGCCTGTCCTCTGGCACCTTCTAAGGGTATCTTTGTAGTCACGTTTATTACGAACGCGTTGACGTTCCCTTCTGAGGATGCCTCTGTAGTCACGTTTATTACGAACGTGTTGACGTTCCCTTCTGAGGATGTCTCTGTAGTCACGTTTATTACGAACGCGTTGACGTCCCCTTCTGAGGATGTCTCTGTAGTCACGTTTATTACGAACGCCTTGACATTCCTTTCTGAGGATGTCTGTGCAGTTACCTTTACTACGAACGCCTTGACGTTCCCTTCTGAGGATGTCTCTGTAGTTACCTTTACTACGAACGACTTGACGTTCCCTTCTAATGATGTCTCTGTAGTTACGTTTATTACGAACGCCTTGACGTTCCCTTCTGAGGATGTCTCTGTAGTCACGTTCATTGCGAACGCCTTGACGTTCGACGTTCCCTTCTGAGGATGCCTCTGCAGTTACCTTTTTTACGAACGCCTTGACGTTCCCTCCTGAAGATGTCTCTGTAGTCACGTTTATTACGAACGCCTTGACGTTCCCTTCTGAGGATGTCTCTGTAGTTACCTTTACTACGAACATGTTGACGTTCCCTTCTGAGGATGTCTCTGTAGTCACGTTTATTACGAACGCGTTGACGTCTCTGTCGTCGTACGTGCATGGTTCGTTGCCCCGCGAGACCAATCCAGGCCGTCTTGTCTGTGTGCTCTTGTGCTGGATCACTACTGATGCAGCCTCGCCATATCATCCCGAGAAATGAATGAGTCACCACCTGCACCCCCCAAGCCACAGTGGGGTGTACGTGTACAATGTAGTATGGGACGTGTTCAACGCTCAACTGATATTGACCTCACGCTTGGTATCAACCCTAAAACCCTAAACCCTAACCTCACATTTTGATACCAACAGTCTAGTGGGTCTAATCGCAGTTCGGTGGATGAGAATGCGGATCCGTGGAAAGATGCCTTTGACATGCTCAAGGACGAAGTGCACAAGGTATGCGAATCAGTAGAGCTATAAGTATGTGTATGAATATAGGTATATCAGTAGAGCTATAAGTATGTGTAAGATAATAGGTATATCAGTTGAGCTACAAGTATGTGTATGAGTATAGGTATAATAGTAGAGCTATAAGTATGTGTATGAGTATAGGTGTAGCTATAAGAATTAATATAGGTAAAGATATCAGTATAGGTATATGAATCGCTATAGCTATAAGAATCAGTATAGGTATAGGAATCAGTATAGATATAAGAAATATTATAGCTATCAGAATCAGTATTGTTATATACATCACTATAGCTATAATAACTATAGCTATAAGAATCAATATAGTTATATGGATCAATATAGATATATGAATCACTATAACTATAAGATAATATAGCTACGTGGATCAATATGGCTATAAGAATCAATATAGCTATAAGAATCAATATAGCTATAAGAATCAATATAGCTATAAGAATCACTATAGATATAAAAATCAATATAACTATAAGAATCACTATAGATATAAGAATCAATATAACTATAAGAATCACTATAGATATATGAATTACTATAACTATAAGATAATATAACTACATGGATTAATATAGCTATATGAATCAATATAACTATAAGAATCACTATAGCTATAAGAATCAATATAGCTATATGGATCACTATAGCTTTAAGACTTTATATAGCTATATGAATTAACATAGCTATAGGAATTATTATAGCTATACGAATTAATATATAGGCCCTGTACTCCGTTTCATTAGTTTAGATTCCCTGTTTGAAGTGTTCGAACCACCACCGCACACATACACCCCTGTGCTTCTTGTCGGTGTACTTTTTTTGTTAGAGTATTCCACTACATATCATTAAATAAACAAACACGCTTTGCTTCTGCATTTTTGCTTTATCCAGGCTGCCAACGGAGACAATGATGATCCGATGGGCGAAGGGAACGAGGCAGTCACAGATGAGTGGGACGCCTTCGAAGCCGGTGAGTTTGGATACTAGTATTATGTGTATTTGGATATATATATATATATATGTAAATATATGTAAATATATGTATATACTATATATGTATCTATGTATTTATGCATGCATGCATGTATGTATCTATGTATCTGTATGTGTATAAATATATATACATGTATATATATATATATATATGTGTGTGTGTGTGTGTATGTATGTATTATATTATATATATATATACATATATATATACATATATGTATGTATATGTATGTATATATACATGTATGTATATATATTATATATATATATGTATATATATATATATATATATGTGTGTGTGTGTGTAGCCCCTAGATCACTTGTGTCAATCCCACGTAGATTTGATTCCATACCCTGAGTCAATCTGCGTGTGTGAATACAAATACAAGACTACATCCATCATACATACGTCAAGCGTGCATTTGTGTTTTTTCATGTGTGTTATTTCATGTGTGTCAGCGCATATGTATCCTATTACAGTAGCTTCAGTGTCTCACACTCTGAACTCCTTTTCCGTTGTTTCATCGCGCTTGTACCAGCTGCTCCTCCCAATGCGACCAAGGACGATGTAGGTGGTGTGTTTAAAGCAGCAACTGCTAATGAAAACGATGACATGTGGGGAGCATTCGAGACCGCGGACGACGACAAAAGTGATAAGCCAGGCACAGCCAATAGACAGCTGGATACGTATGTGGGTGGTGTCACGAGAGGGTGTTCGTTTGAGATTTGGGTTGTTGTTGCTGCGATGTGAAGTAGTTTCGAGTTAGACAAAAGTGATAAGCCAGCGACAGGCGACGGCCAACTAGATATGTAAGTGGAAGGTGTTCGTTGGAGATTTGTTGTTATTGCTGCAATGTGAAGTAGTTTAGAGTTGGTCGGCTTATGGATAGGAGCGATCTGAAACGAGGAGTACCACTATAGTGTATGGATTCTAATAGGACTCCTTGTTCGATCCTTATTATTATACTGTATGGTTGCTATAGCAACACCCAATTCCTACTTTGGAAATCGCATAGACATAGTTCAATCGCTTACGTTATACTACACTCAATACTGAGCAGAACGGTGACTGGTTCCGGTGATGACGAAGACGGATGGGCCGATTTCAAAGGTGCAAGTAGTTGAAAGGTATTCCATCCAAAACACTAAGGCTATTTTTGATATTGTATATAGATGCAAAGATATTATATGATACTGCGGTATCTAAAATAAATCAGGCCGTGAAATTCAAAAGTATTTCGGATTCCTCGCTGTCTTCACACTGAAATATCATAAATATTGTGCTATACGCACCCGATTTGGTTAGAGATGGGTTCGTTTAAGAATGTCTCTAAATATATTGCAACGTATATTTGGCTTATCTCTCTCCGGTTGAGACGACACTGTACACTCCATATATATATATATATATATATATATATATATATATATGTGTGTGTGTGTGTGTGTGTGTGTGTGTGTGTGTGTGTGTGTGTGTGTGTGTAGTGTATGTAGTATGTATGTATGTATGTATGTAGTGTTGTTAGTTAGTAGTATAGTATGTATAGTATATATATATATATATATATATATATATATATAATTACAGTATATATGTATGTATAAGTGCTGTAAACATACACAGCCTCCTAAAAAAGACACAAATATCATGGCCCTTTGGATTAGGGTCTGTGCGGAGAACATTACATGATGTCTTAGAGAAATCGATCATATTCGACCAGAGTCAGAAACGCTATTAATACATACAAATCCACAAGACTACAGCGGTAATTTTCGATCAGAGTCAGAGACGCTATTAATACACAAATACAAATCCACAAGACCACAGGCTCAGGGCCATGCAAATAGAAGATGATACGATATCTTGTCAAGTTGTCATATACATATAGTCATAAGCAATGGGTCCTCGCTAGCTGTCAACTTTTAATTGTCCATTTCGATAGATGTCAGCTTTCAATTTCGCATTGGTCAATATATATATTTTCAGTACTATTAGAGGGCTCATACATTGGCTCTACCGCTGACAATATATCCCTATTGGTATTGAAGGACTGAATAATATATAAAACCAATCATTTCTTATGTATAGAAGTATGGGCCACGCTACCATAACGACACTCGCGTTTCTCGGTGTAAATATTACTACAAGTACGAACAGAATATTATTAAATATCACAGTTGTGTATACATACACCCTGTTAAACGCATAACTAACACGATGTCTAGCACAGATAAAAGGAAGTTCGTAGAGTTAGATATGGAAAAGAAGAATGAGTTGGTCATCCAAGTTAAAGGCTAGTGGGTGGAGTTTCGACAGAGACTCGGTAGCTAACAAGAAGTTACCACTTGTGAACAAGCTGTTAGGTCAGCAGCTAGAGAGTATGGTATACATGCTCGAACTGTAACACGCATTATGGAACGTGCTCGAGAAGCTGGAGCTGAACATAATAAGGAGGACCCTGATGTAAAGCTAATTGCGTACAATAAGAACAACTACAGACGTTTGCGTGGCGCAGAGTATCCACTTCTGGAAAAGAAACTGATGGAGTGGGTCAATGTGCTTAGGGCACAAAGAGCTATCGTGGATCGTGTGACTATCTTGACAAACGCTGAGATATTAGGTAAAGTTATGGGTGTGCGTGAGGACTTTCAGTTCTCTAATGGGTGGTTTAGCAACTTTGCTAAGCGTTGTGAATTGAGAAGTAAAGCAATACACGGGCAAGCTGGCGATGTAACAATAGACTTGGAATTTGAAAAGCAGATGATGCCTATTAGAGAATTCCTGAGCGACTTTCATCTTGATAATATATACAATTTGGATGCGACAGGATTGCTCTATAAGTGTTTACCTAATCGTACGTATGTTGCGCCAAATGAGAACGGACGTATGTTAAGAGGTACAAAAGCTATGAAGGCAAAGGATCGAGCTACTTTGATAACCTGTACTAACGCTTCTGGTAACGACAAAGTTCCATTGATGGTAATCGGTTAGTCAAAGGAACCAAGATGCTTTAAAAGTGAAGAGACGTTGCCTCTACCTTATCATCATCAGAAGAATTCGTGGAATGATGTCGTACTGCAAGAGTATTGGTTCAAGAACGTATTTCTAAAACGTATTTCTAAAACATATTCGCAAACGTACGAAGGAAAAGGTTGTTCTACTCATGAATAGTTTCGGTGCTCATGATGATGTGACCGAAAGAGATGGTGTGATATACAAGCTACTACCAAAGAATTAATTGCACATCAGTATATCACCCTCTGGATGCAGGCGTCATTTATGCACTGAAATTTGGTTACAGAAGGCAGTTACTGAGAAAGACCATAGAGAACATGGAAGATCCAAAGAGGTGCAAAGCAATACGAGCTGAGGGTGCAAAACGTACAGAAGGTACTCGGGGTATTAACTTCGGATATGCAGCAAATTTGTTAGATGTTTATGCACATGTGTAAGAAAGCCGGGGATAATTTGTCGACGGACAAAATACATAGCTTCTGGCTTAAGTCTACATGCCTACCCACACGGATCGCACCCAATTTTCATACAAAGATTGTGCTAACAAAGAAGGAACACGAAGAACGAGCCAATGATCTCCATGATCTTACTGAACTGGTGACAAACATGCCGATCACGACTACCAACTCAGAAACCGAAAGTCACAATGACAGCATGGATATATATGAAGGTACTAGTGGAGGTGATAGTACCGCTCAAGAGAGTTGGGGACAAGTTCGTGGAAGCTTGTATGGATATAGAGTGGGATGCTGATATCTTATCGGCTACTGCTTCTGATGTGTTGTTTGGTGAGGAACTAATCCAGAATATATATCGTGAGCCCAAAGAAACAGAAAACGCTGACTGTACGGGAAACACGGAGAACGCTGAGACACAAGGGACAACAAGTATGGGCGAAATAGAACCAGGACTCGCACAAACTGATTGTTACACGTTCGAATCACAGAATCACGATCAGGACTCTCTATCTGATGCTGAGAGACTCGCAGAGATACAAAGCTAACCACTCAACGAGGTCATAAAAGAGTGCTACAGCTTCGCAAAGAACTAAGACGTTTGCAAAGTGAACACGATAAACTTGCGCAGTGAAGTAAGTCACAGATGGCAATGTCAGATTTCTTGAAAACAAGGACAAGGACGGGGACACTGATACGGAGATAGATGAATAAAACAAAGCCTCATTACACGTACTTTATTTCATCTTGAACTCTCACTATATCAGTTATGATAGGTTATGATAGGTTTGTATACCAATATATTTTAGACGTGATATACTGGGTTAAGAACACGCATCATATGGTCGGATGGGCCGAAAACCTGTGGGCCAATCAAATGGCTGCTATAGTTGTCCACTTGATAGATGACATCGTGTCAACTTTTTGTTTCAGAGCGGTCGTTGACAACTAGAGAGGATACGTACAGAACCCACACATTTAAAGCACCAAAACAAACCAATGAATTTTGATTTTTACTTCTTGCAAAATTGATTTTAATTGGTCCATACATATTTGCAAGTCCCGTCTGAGCCTCCCTGTTCCCTGACCGAGTTTTTTTTTAATGTAAAGAAATACCCCCTCACAGCACTGTGTCAGCAGAGTGTCAGATGTGGTAAATATTTAGGCAACGTTCTGCAACTCAATATGAAAATGTCAATTTTTGAAGAAGAAGAAAAAAGTGCATTTTGGATCGATTTTATTTTTTTGGATTTTCAATATAATTAAAATGGGTACAACATCATTCTCAAAAATATTTGAGTTCCTTATATACTTTTTAAACACGGCATATACTTTTTAAAAACGGCCATTTTTTCCAACCGTCGAATTTTACGTCTACGGCAGCTTTTTTACGTAAACCTCAATACCGCCAAAAATAGAAAGAGTAAAATCGAAACCGCGCCATTTCTCAAAACGCGCCATGTATCGTTTTGTTCGTGCTGCTAACTGTTGAGATATTTCGTTCATTACCGTTAGAATAAATAAAGTATAGTCGTATTCTGCAAGTGCCACACCATTTATCAGCCACAATGAGTGCAAACCCATCTCACGCATCTAGATACATGGATTCTCTTGTGGAGGAAGATGGGGTCACTGGGAATGAATCGGCTGAGGATTCGTCTGACGTGGCTGATCAAAATACCCATATATCCACACAAAACAAAATGCACAACTCGATCTCAAACAATCAAACCATGCACGCATTGCCCGATCCATCACCATCAAAGCTTGATTATCTCGATTTGAATTTCAATCCAATTATTCCAAGTCATCTGACATCAACTTTGTATGTCGACATTTCTGCCACATTTAATCCTATACAGCCCACTTTCAAGCTGTAACCATCTAGCGTGTGTGTTGATTTGTCGAAGAATGCGACAAAGTCAAAGAAAAGATCGGCTTCTACCGGTAATGTATGTTTCGGTCTATCAAGGCGATATTAACGCCTTAGAGTAATTAAACGCTTAGGCTAAGTCTAAGTATAGTTAAATTTGAAATAAATAAACGAAATGAGTATTTTAGTAAAGGTAGGTATGCCTCGTGAAAACAGCAATACTCTGAGGGATTGTGAGGCCGCGACATTGCCTATATATAATCCTCTCAGTAATGTTATCGCCGAAGGGATTTTATTTAGTGTTTCGTTGTCGCTCTATTAGAAACTATTGTATGTTTCGTTGGACGAACCCGAGAGACTCATAAAAACCTATTTTTAGAAACAAACGGAATAGAAAAAAATGATGTCCATAGTTATTGCTTTAACCAATAACTTGCCACTTATCCATAATTACCGACTTCGCCTTCAGCAGACTGGCACATCTGGTTGGCTGAACGGAGGTTAAACTAGGTAACGCGAATAGTCTCTAGAAACCTATATTCGGTTGAGCCATCTCGCTACCGAAGTTTTCAGATATAAACAAAGTTGGAAAATAAATATAGTTCTATTAATAGAACTAGACCAACTCTTATACTTGGTAAGCGGATTGGGGTGATGATGGAGGTTTTCGAGACGCGACATAAGTTTCAGCATTCTTGGATTGTGTCAAATCTGGACTAGGTGCATTCTTGGAAGACTTCATAATCGGAATAATCAGTACTTGGGCACCAGTAATCTTGTCCACCATTCACTTCTGGCAATATATCCAGATCGTCGACAACATTCTTACTATGTAAAACAGTACAAACATCATGATTGTGCTGAACAAACAAGCGGCAAATATATTCTGTGTCAGCTCGTCTTTGTAGTTCCGCATTCTTGTATGCATTTCTTTAGGAACTCGAGCCTTAAAGTGAGACCCGTCTAATTCCCCCTGTAATAAGCCGGGCCTCCGCATTCGACTCTATGTATAAACGTGTTCTTAAGCAGTACGCAAGTTATAAACATACTTTCCAAATTTATTTATATCTGAATACTTCGGTAGCGAGATGCCTCAACCGAATATAGGTTTCTAGGGACTATTAACGCTACCTAGTTGATCCTCCAATAAGCCAACCAGATGTGCGTCTGATGAAGGCTAAGTCGGCAATTCTTGATAGGGATAATATTATCTATTACAAAAATGGCAAGTATGTATGATACAATGTATGAACATATGGTATGGCTCTCATAGTCGCTGTAGTGGTTCAGGAAATATTGATGGGAAGAAGTGGTCAGTAAATTCCCGTTTGAAGCTTGGGCCAAGTGAGTCGACAATGGAAGATATGTGCTGAGTCAATTCGGGCCGGTTTTAATAAAACATTGTTACTATCGAATGCTCCATATATTTGCTTGCTGACTTACTAAGTAGAGTACCTACCTCTGTGGTACGGATCGGGTCTGCGCCGTGAAGTGCCGCGGAATGGGTTAGTGCAGTGTACGAGATACCGAGAAGGACCAGGTTATCCGTCATAATCCGGTCGAGAAGCGAGAATGGGGGTAAGCCAATGCCGCACCAGACCACGGATGAGTTCGGTATGTGTTGGCTGGCCTAGATTGGAAGCATCATAGTCGGAACCAACAAGCGCGATGATTTGGTTTGAACCGATATTTGGAAGTAGTACTTCAACATCGTGATTAGCCGGGGTTTGGAGAACATCTGTTGATGTGTCAGAAACGGGTGAGAGTACGGTGGTTCTTCAACATGCTGGAGAAAAGATCCAAGGTGTTCGTGGAGGGTCCAGGTACCGTGGAAGTCGTGACACTCCTTTATTGCTGAAGGAGGTCAGGGCCAATGGGCGGCAGTTTCGGGCCTACCAGGATGCGTCGAATCAATTGTTGGATGCAGGTAAAGTGGCTGGTAGTGAACTTGTGGCTACCGGGGCAGACAGGGCAGAGAAAGCCGTCGGTGCGGTAGTCGAGCAATGTGAACATGTACGTTCTTGATAGTGACAAGTTATTGGTTAAGACTATAATTAAGGACGTCAAGAGTAATATTTTTCTAAAGATTTTTATGAGTCTGAGCGGCAACGAAACACTAAATAAAATCCCTTCGGCGGAAACAGTACTGAGAATATTATATATAGGCAATGTCTCAGTCTCAAAATCTCTCATAGTATTGCTGTTTTCACGAGGCAACCCTAACTTTATTAAACGTCTCATTTCGTTTATTTATATCGAGATTTACACGATATAGAATTTATCTACGCGTTAATTTATTCTAAGGCATTAGTATCGCCTTTATTAGACCGAATCTTACGTAAGGTGCAACCAAAGATTGAAGTTAAGTGACAAACATACCAAGATTCTGAACATGTGACAGTACTAAGTAGAGTATGGGACTCTACTGTGGACAATTAGGTGGTTTTCCAAATATAGATTGGTTTTTCCACTGAAATTAGAATTGTACATAATATAGGAACGACACCAATCTGACACCTGAAAATGACACTTTGGGAATCTCTAATTGATGGGAGTACCATGAGAGAGGGTCTCGGGCATGAAATGGTTGTTGGTACAAACCTATGGTATAATTCGATAATGATCTCAGAGCAACATAATCCACTGAGAAAAGGACAGGATCAGTGTTGTTAGAATTTAGGACAACCTGGTTTTGATTCCTCCTAGCCAGCCAACTAGATGTGCCCGTCTATGCCTTAAATGGGATAGGGAGCTAGGTACCAAGTTATGGGATTTAGGTGCAGATTTATACTGCACCAGCTTGGTGTTTTGATTTTCTTTTTTCTTTTCTTAAGTTGGACATTGAGGTATTTTATTGGTTAGTTTGATTGGGTGATTGTTTCGAGGCGTGAAATGTAAAGGTTCTAGGGTTTGAAATTATATCTAATATTGTTAACTAAAACATAAATAAATCTAGACCGAAGTAGTGAGTGATTAGAGTGGATCATATAGACAATAGTCTCAGTCTAAAATCCTCTAATATTTTGCTCAATACCAAGGGCTGAAGCTAAACTTATTTAACATTTTGCATTTTAACGTATTAACGTATGTTCTTATAACGTAAACGTTTTGGTATCGTGTATAGTCAGCCTAGAGGAGACCGACTTTTACAGTTTCAAAAGAAATTTTACGCGAATTCAAAGAAATAGCCATTCTTTTTTACAAAAACAGCTTTTGAAACTTTTGTAAAAATACGATTATAGATGTTCAAAACAGGTGATTTTGGAAGTATGGTCATTTTTCAAGTTTGAGTTGCAAACCGATTTTTTGAGAAGATGCCTATTTTGAATTTTGAAAAATGCCCTTTTATGCAAAAATGAACATTTCATCGAAAATGGCCGTAATATTAGAGTTGCAGAACAGGGCCTTATCAATGTGCGGTATACCACACATGAGGCCAACGGCTGTTGCGGAGTTGCCTGCTGGGAGTGTTGGGATAAAGTTGAGCTTCAAGTGTATTCGATTGTTGTCAGTCGAACTACACACTTCATAGCTAAAGAGTGGCGACTGAACTATTGGCATGCATCGCTCTGAATCCGACCTGGCCTTACCTTTACTATAACGTGGTTGATATCATCTGGCAGCATTGACATCTTTCACGCAGATACACAGCAATTCAGTATCAGCAACCGTTGAACATGTCTTTCTCCGCAATGCTCGGTGCTCTGAGGCGACTCGCCAACACCACTACACGAACCCCAACCATACTGTTAACGCCTGTGCATACAGCGATTCATTATCCAATTGGCCTCAGGCCTGAGCTGCCTATAATTGCAAGGTATGTCCACGTGTAGGCTCTTGACAATTCGGTACCACATACGTTTCTATATATTGGAGTTGATAAAGTTCCGCCTGACTACAGGATGTTTCGCAACCATCAGTCGAACAATAATTAACGACATCGACGTCTTTTCTACTATATCAGAGGGTGAGCTATTCATACATGATTCTCACCTGGTGGCGATGTCTCGTGTTTAGAATGTGTTTTGTTACATTTCAAACATACACAAGCACTATTGCTTATATATATATACATATATATATATATATATATATATGTATGTATATGTGTACACATGTTCGTATATATATATATATGTGTGTGTGTGTATGTGTATGTATATATGTATATATATAATTATATGTCTTTATATATATTATTTGTATATATTGATATCAATATATATATGTGTGTGTGTGTGTGCGTGTGTGTGTGTGCAAGTGTGTGTGTGTAAATATATTATATATATATATATATATATATATATAACATCCGTGTTTGTATCTATGTACGTATGTATATATGTAAACATGTTTCTATTTGTGTATGCAAATTACCATATATATGTATATATGTGTGTGTGTGTGTGTGTTTTTGGGTATGTTTGTATATATGTATGTATATGCATATATATATATATGCGTGTGTGTGTGTGTGTGTGTGTGTATATATGTGTCTGTGTCTGTGTCTGTGTTTATGTGTGCGTGTATGTCTGTGTGTGTAAGTATATAATTATACATATATATATATATATATATATATATATATATATATATTCAGAACTCGTACTTCAAAAAATTTGATTAGATCAGATGCCATAATTTTTATGGTGTTCTGGTTCACCTCACCTTATTGACATCATCGTGCTTGAAAATAGTGTTTCTATTCTGTGACTGTATTGGCAGTCTTATAACACATAGTGATGCAAGGGGCCGCTGTCATAAGAAGATCTACTTTCGATAGTATATTACTGAAGTATATTCTGTACAAGTGTATTTGATGTCAACGCAATTCCAGAATTTGCCAGAGAACACTTATTCTGTGTACATCGGTGTCGTTTGGGGATCTGTTAAATGAAGATCAACGTCATGTGGTGGTGCACAAACAATGAATACGGAATGTGTTAGGTGTTTAATTCCGTTGTGATGCAAACGCTTTTTAGGCCATATACGCTTTAGGTTTATGATCTATTGTGGCTGATCCGGTACAAATTACGAAAGTATCCCACATAATCCTCACACTATTCTGCGCCGCCCACTCGAATTGATGATCAAAATGTATGACCAGGCGACCCAAGACACTCTTGTATATATCTACAGTTCACAGGCACCCCTATAGCTGCACACGCTTTGGTTATGGGTGTTCTAGTATGGCGTAGTTTGGATAGCGAGAGCGCTTCAGTCGGTCAAGATACTGTGGAAAACAGCTCTGTGCGGTCAGTATAGAAATGTTTGTTCTGAAAGCATCCCATTGGTTCCATGATCGTCGTCATTCATTTCACAAATATAATTTATCAATATGTACATTTGTATTAAATATTTTACTAAAACACAGCCTCCGTGCCGCAAACAATCTCTCGGTCCGCACTATTGGATCTGCATCTGGCAACGAGAAGATATACGCGTGTGAGTGGCCCGGCTGTGGTCAGACATCTGTCAGTCCTGCTAACCTGAAGATTCATATCCGGGTGCACACGGGCGACCGTCCGTATACCTGTGACTACCCTGGGTGTGGCAAGAAGTTTGTTCAAAAAGGCCATTTAAAAACGCACATTCGCGTGCACACAGGGGAACGGCCCTATGCCTGTGACTATCCTGGGTGTGGACAAGCCTTCAAGCAAATTATTACGTTGCAGTATCACAAAAGCGTTCACTCGGACGAACGGCCCTATGCCTGTGACGTACCTGGGTGTTCTGCCAAATATAAACGGTTTTATAGTATGCAACGCCATAAACGCAATCAACATGGCGAGCACGACTCAACCAATTAAACATAAGCCGCTGCACAGGCGCGGGTATTCAATAGAAATGCACGCGGATTGTCTTCTCGTCGGTCACACTTGATCCAAAAGGTGTTTGTATTTGAATACCATTTGATCCAAAAGGTGTTAGTATTTGAATACCACTTGATCCAAAAGATGTTTACATTAGAATATCACTTGATCCAAAAGGTGTTTATATTTGAATACCACTTGATCCAAAAGGTGTTTATATCTGAATACCACTTGATCCAAAAGGTGTCTATATCTGAATTCATGCCGTTGTACCAATGCACGCTGAAGGTGTTCAACCCCGAGCCATGAATTCATCAACTAGAATACGATTTAGGCTATACTTCAAAATTGTTTGTATGCGAGCTTGAACGCCTGCAGGCGGACTGTGGGGTTTACTGGGTGTATTACCTACTCTATATGCAGAAGCTGCAATGAGACACCACACTGTTGATACTGAGATTTTGCTCGTTTCTAACTGCTTCATATTTTTTCGGTCAGAAAGTATCTAGGCTAGTTCATTGTTACTTGGTGAATCTTGGTTAGTTTTAAAACGCCTTTGAACCACAGCCAGACCCTTTCAATCCATATTCTTTTATTTGCGAGTTTACATGTGTTTTTGGATCTTCAATTCTGTTTTTTTTTTAATGTAGATGCAGCAAAATAATCATACTCGTGTTAGTTTACATGTGTTTTTGGATCTTCAATTCTGTTTTTTTTTTAATGTAGATGCAGCAAAATAATCATACTCGTGTTGGAACAAGTCTATCATCTATCCAGACAATGCTTGACCAAGGCATATTAAGCAATACAGCTACACCAATAGTCACTGTACTTAGCCACTCATTATTAAGCAAGTATGTTATATATTCATTTCGTCTCAACTAAGAGGACGTTAATGTATATGCGCCTCAATTATTTATGACACTACACTATATTTTGGAGCTCTGTGAATCGAAGACATCAGTGATGTGGAAAATGCGCAAGCCGCCACAGCTTGTGTAACTACACCACAATCATAAGCTTCACATCGGATCTCAAACTATACAGCGCGAATGATCTTGGATCGGAAGAACGCTACCCAATAGCGCGCAGTCTATACAAAGCCACTCCATCTCGGTAGGTGTCCGCACCCTTGTATTTCCGGCTAAGCTACAGTGCGAATAGAATCAAGCATGGGCAGTAGTTCGAAGTCCTTATTGATTGTACTTTTCAAATCGATGTGTTATATCGAAGGTTAGATACCGCAGTAGCCTATCGCGATTAGTACATACTGACTTAGACACCACGCATGCATGCATGTTCTGTTTCAGTGAAGGTCTTGTTAAAATGCACATAAGTCGTTATTTCTTTTGCAAACATACAATGCTGAGTTTAGCTATTGAATAAAGAGATTTGATGGTACTTAATAACTTTGATGGTACTTAATGAATCAGTATAGCTGCACAGTTGCAGGGCGTTCAATCTGAAGAAGCCAAAGGCACTCTATAATATACTTAAGGTAGAAATGCATACGAGGTTTATAATTATCTGAAATCTGTTGCTGCCTCGGGCTCTACTTGGCACCTATATTCCACATTGAAGGGATCGTCTTCTATCTCTTTCACTTGGACGTCTTTAAATCCACACTCTCTAAACAGCTTCAACGCCTTGTCTTGGCCCCACATCATCCCAAAGCCTTTACCCTTCCCATCCACACCCAACCCTACGGGCATACAATAGAACAATGAAACGGCGTATGCAAACCCGCTCATCGTGGATCCCACATTTCCTCGGATCTGGAAGAATCGCAACGGTTCGACAGGTAAACAAGTGCAGCAGTGCTCACTAATCTCGGAGGCACGGGTTAGTGTACCCCCGTGACACTCGCGAGTTTTCAAACACATATTCAGAAGGCAAAAGGCAAGGCATGTGAGCCATAAAACTGAGCAATCTTGCTGCTACTAGTTACAAATCGAGGAGATATGCACAATCCTGGGATCAACCGTGCGCGATGCCATAGTAGTTACAAATCGAGGAGATATGCACAATCCTGGGATCAACCGTGCGCGATGCCATAGTTGTTACAAATCAAGGAGATATGCACAATCATGGGATCAACCGTGCGCGATGACATTTGCCGCTGCGCAGGGAATCCTAGACTACATCGCTCTCGAATGGCTACGAGAGCAGTATATAGGATCATTTCAAAACTTGTCTGAACAGTTTCCTTAGAGGTCCCACTGTGCCGCAAAGGCAGAACGGCACATCATGAATGGCAACGATCAAATATCACACACGCACGAGACATGTAACACACACATCACACACACACGCCAAACACTTACATCGGATTGGGCCTGAACATCGACAGCGGAAAATGTGCCCTTGCGTTTCGTGAGCACGCTGACGACGCCTTTGACAACCTCTTCCGGGTGATTCAGATCGTGCACTGCATCGAATGCCGTGGCGTAATCGAAATCCCCCAATTCCCCGTCGGTGAGATCCACCGCGTCTTTCATAACGAACTCGATATTTGACAGTTCTGAAAGGATGGACGGACGGATAACCAACCAACTTCATCGAATAGTAAAGTGTCTGTACTACAATGAAAGTAGTAAAGTGTCTACTACAATGACAGCTTACACAGTTTACAATGCATGCGACCTACACGACACATGGCAAGAAGATATTGGCACCACCGCGAATTGTCGACAACAGTTTCGGGATAGGAAACAAACAGACAACTCGGGGACTCCCATACCCCCTAAAGATAGACAGCCTCTGCTCCTCTTGCTATAAATAGCACAACAGACTGGGAATCACCGCACACAAAGGGCAGAGGGGGTGTATGTGAGCATGGACCTAAAGGGCAGAGGGGGTGTATGTGGGCATGGACCTAAAGGACAGAGGGGGTGTATGTGGGCATGAACCTGAAGTGTAGAGGGGGTGTATGCGGGCATGGACCTAAAGGGCAGAGGGGGTGTATGTGGGTATGGACCAGCGCATGGCTGTAACTCGAGAGAGTGTAACCTATGACCGTATCGTGCAATACATCCTATTATGCCGGTTGTCCGATCAGCTCACCTCCTACGGCTTTACTAGCCACGTTGATAGCGGTTTCATCGATATCGATTCCCACGAATTGCGACTTTGGATACTCGCGCGCCATTAAACGGGTTGCCACACCTGACCCACAACCAAGGTCTGTTGATTTATGTGGGTTTTAGGGTTTTAGGGTTATTTTTGTGGATCAAACGTATGCGAATCGTTACGAGTGGAGCCTGCAGTGAGGGGTAAAATCCTCACATCAACAATTCCATCACCCCACCGCAAATTGGGTGTTAAGGCAAACGATTGCTAGCGTCTAAATTAACGCACAATGATATTTTCAATGGCTTTGGGGTCAAAGTATCACCGACAGGTAAACCTTACATGACTGCTTGTAGTCAAGACACATCACACAAGCGATATCAGAGTGCTCACTTACCGAGGACACGCATGCCACCTTCCTGCAGTTTCTCGTGAAGCACCGGGTTTCGCTTAATGAAGCCCAATAAGCTCGAGTTGTGTTTAGCGATGGCCAGTTCCTCCATGAACGAGTTGAAGCCTGTCACGAGAGAGTATAAACAATATTACATCAGTTTGATTGCGGTATGAAGACAGGGTTTAGGGTTTAGGGTTTAAGGGTTTGGGGTTTAGGCTGCTATTCATGATATAGAAGAGTTTAAAATCACGCACTGATTGTTGAAAACAAACTCGAGACAGACATTTAAACAGCCCCAGAAAAACTTGTAGTCGCATCACGATGACTGGTCGTCGATTTAGAAGCAGCAGAGCTCGCTCCAACCGGGCTTATCAATATACACGCACCTGGATACGTGCCGTAGGCCATCCCTTTACCACTACGGAACAACTCGGGCATTTTCTTGTATACAGCTGAATTCAGCAGTGGTATCTCAGTCGAATAGGCCGCTAGATTGCCGGGCATATCCGAACACAACACCCCCCAGTGTTCGGGAGGAAATGTGAAATACTCTTCTTCTAATGAGTAAGCTGTAGAGAGCATAGTATTGGTGAGGTCAATGATCCTGAGCACGTTTGGTACTTTCCGTTTTTAGGCTGAGCTGCGACAAAATCACACTCAAACGCGCAAGTATATATGGAATTATACTTGGCGGCATATGTATAGAATACAAGTACAACTGTATCAAATACAGATCGCAGACCAGTATGCTAGTCTCATAGAAAAAGGTACAAATGAAGGCTGTGCATGGATTTATACGTAGTTATCACGATGTAGATTAGTACTTTCTATGATCTAAACACTGCCAATAAGACAGATGCAACATAGCAGGTGAAGATGTGCCTATATGATTGCGCCTGTATATAACTACATAAACAAACATATCCGTGTTTGTGAACTTTGAAAGGTATGCGAGGTACTCGCACATGGTTATAAGATACATAAACATGAAGTTCGCCATGTATCTATTAATTCGTTTGTAAATACGCATATATGTGCATAGTCGTGCGTTAAAGGGACGTATAAACCTTATAACAAACTGGAAAAAATTCCATCACATTTCAACTATTCGTAAAAGAAAGCAAGTCAACTTTAATACAAAAATACATGTATGTATATTGTGTTCCCATGCTGATTAATAATTTTGTCTCTTCATCTACCCATCTATGAATATA